GTAAACCGATCTGATTGTCAGTCAGCTTGTTTCATCATGATGTAGATATGGCCACCAAATCTTCAGAGGAACCATTTATTACATTATTTTTATCAAGAATATGTGCCTCAAATATCAAAATTACCTAAGAGAAAATCGTTCTATTTCTGTGTCCCTGACAACCAATTAGATACTAGCTTTTATATTATAACCTGCACAAGAGTGGTAACAGGGGGAATGTGATATGGGTCGCTTATATGTAGGTGCTTAAGAAGGTATTGTCATGCTGTAAGTGTTTGTTTTTTTAATTGTTATTGTGCCTTGTTGGTGTTTTTAGTATTACTGTATATGCAGTATATATACTGTATATGCGGTGTGTGTGTATATATATATATATATATATATATATATATGCACAGTATATATGTATATGTTAATTGCACTGTTTAGTTATGTTGCCTGCAGAGTTGGTAAGTTAGGAGAAGCAAGAGTTAACTCTGCTGACCAGATTTTCCAAGGCTTTTGGGGAAGTACCACCCTTTGCAGGGGAAAACAATTAAAAGGGGAACTACCTCTAGAGCAAGGGTCAATAGCTGTATGTATGGAAAGGGAACAGGAGCTAAACTAGGATGTAATTGCCATTTTTCTGAAACCACCCCTTGACGGGAGCCCAGTCAGGGTGCCAGGAACACCAAATTATGCTACTGATTAATGGGCTAATGGACTCTAAAGGATTTTCTTAACTATTTAAGATATGACTACCTCGAGGGGCAGGGGCCCTAGGAAAACACTTAAGGGACACAAAGAAGCACTTTGTAGTAGGAAAGTTGTATATGAAGAATTGCCTGCACCAGGGGCGGATTGACAACTAATGGGGCCCCCAGGCAATAGGGGATCATGGGGCCCCTGTGTCCATGCCCAAACTCAAAAAAGCCTATGAAAAAGGTACCAGGGGCATCTCATGGGGCCCCCTACTGACCCCGGGCCCTCGGGCAGTGCCCAAGTTTCCAAATGGTCAGTCCGCCCCTGGCCTGCACATTATGTTATTATCAGATAACTTTTAGTAAAGAACTTTGTTGTTACATAACTCTACCTGGTCTAAGGTCACTTGAGGACATTCTAAAAGGGGTGCATGCATAAGTTGCATACCACAAAACATTGTTCACACCAGGGAACAAAACAGGAGAGAGAAGATGCAGTACATACTGTATGTCTAATGTGAGGTGAGCTGATTAGAGAAGGCTATGTTGATATTGCCAATGGCTACAATACTAGTGTCTAGGTGCATAAGCAGCCAGCTGGTTGGGAAGGGGAGGTGACTTGGCATAGGTGACAGAGGGCTCTGCTAGCGAAGGAGCTTGTGTGCTTAGTCTCCTTCCCTAGTGACCTGTACCCCAATATGGGACTGACTTGCAGAACAAGGCATCTTAGGGATCCAGCCTGGAAATTATGGAGGATGAAGTGAGGCATCAGAGAGAATAGACACGGAACATGCACAGTATCAAGCTCCCTATGATCCAGGTAATTGAGCTGGTGGACTCTGGTGTAAGCTGTGTGGCACCAGTTCAGAAATGTGGCATAGAAGAGAGACGTGTAATGGGAATGGTTATCCAGATTGTGCAGAGTATATAGAGTTAAGGAACTGTGCCACAGGTTACAATGAGTTAATTAATGTGTGGAGAACTTCTGCTTTTACAGAGAACGTCGCCTTAACATCAGCTCTGTGTTTCAGCAAAGACCTCTGTTAGCCACTTGGGGCATAAGCGTGTACTCTTTTCCCATCCCCTAATGAGCACTGCCCACACATTCAGACACATTTCCTCTGAGAAACTTGTGGAACCCATTTTTGTATTGGTATACAATAAGATCATTAAGTAAAAAATGAACAGAGATAATGAAAAAATGAAGAATCCCTTCTGCCAGCAGTTCAGGATATCCATACATTTTCCACATTCAGATTTGCTATTTCATCTTTTTTTTTTAAACAATTTTAAAAATGAATGTTATAAAAAATTCATGATTTAAACATCTGACCCAGCAAGCATATGTTTTGGAAACTCCAATAGCAAGAAGACTGTATGTGCAACTATTATTTGCAGCTTGGCAAATGCTTCAAAAAGTGTTTTTTTTTTTTTTCAAAAAGGGGCCCACTTTGAAAGCATCAGTCAGTTTACAAGGCATGGGCTCTACTGCACCACCAATTTCCCAGAAAGTATTAGGGTAATCAGGGAGGGTTGTTATTAGGAGCAATTTACCTTTCCTTGGTCTGCAAAGCAATTAGCCATCATTTGCCCAGGGGAATATGTGAATGGTCCTTTGGCTAAACCTCCAATCATTCATCTATCATTACAAACAGAAAATGACAGTCCTGTAAATACATGAAAATGACCAAAGACACTTTTTTTGCATTTAAAGACAATGACAAGGTCAACATTGGGGATGAGGTTCACCACTACCATGAGTTCACTATGAATCTTGTAAGTTTGAGGTTCACAGATACGGCAATATAATGTGGGAATTCACCATAATAACCATAATGCACTCTGAATATCAAAACCATAAATAGAGAGGAGAATGCTCAATAGAATACAATATATAAATATGTGTCATATAATATAAGAGATGAAATACATATATATATAAAAAATGCTCTCCCAACACCACGTGCAATAGTATATCTAATACAGGGTATAGTAAAGTCCAAAAATTGTAAATGGATGAGAGTCCCATAGGAGGGTGTCACAAAGATCCAATGAGTTCTTCTCCACCACTTGTGAGTAATAAATTAATTTCCCACTCACCAGAAGGTGTTGACCTCCACTCTGGGTGGTCAAATAACGCTAGGGTAATTAAATGACATATGGGTTCCCCACTGCAGGCTCTCATATGATGGGTCTCCAAGCTCCCCTTCTTGTAGTAGTAGCTCTCAAAGAAGCTCGAAATAAAAACAAATTTCCATAAAATGTGCTCTAAATGTAGTATTTATTGAGAACCATGGTTCATAAATAAAGTAAAAATGCACTCAATATTATGGCGCCTGTACCCCAGCACCAGTCTGTGCAGCAAATATGGGAATAACATATCTCCCTGTGTAAAGCCAGAGTGCATTCCAAGCCTCGTGTTAGTGGGCTGGATGTGACGCCATGTGGGACCCAGAAGTGATGGGATCACAATGCTGGCTGAAATTGTTTTTTATAGGCTCTTTTTAAAATAGTGACAACAAGTGAAATATGCCTACACAATATGAACTAGTACAGAAGCATTTATAGTTCAAGAGCAAATGACAGGGAGAATTCCAGGCTCGAAACTGTGGGCAAAGCACTGTATTTCCATAACACAAAGTGCTTGAACAAGGATTTTTATATTAGTATCGCCAGCTGTTATTTTCATGACTAGTAACTTCAAAAAATAGAATTTCAAAATGACAAAATTATAACCACTTGATGACCGCCCACAGTAATTTTACTGCAGGTGGGCGGCATGTACAGGCACAATCATATACATGCACGTCATTGTGCCTGCTTGGACTTGGGAGGGCGTTGTGCACCCACTGGGACTTGAAGATTGCAGCTCACAGTACCGGGCTGCTTTGAGCAGCCCAGGGATCATGTGATTGCTATGCAATCACAGGATCACAATGTCAACAGAGCTGTTATGAATGAATCTAATTCATAACAGCTCTGCTTTCTAAACTAGTGAGCTGTGATTGGCCCACATCTATCACATGGTACCTTGGTCACCATGGCACCTGGACACCCTCTACCATGTGATTACCTGTAGCCAATCACAGATAACTAGTAATTACAGCTGTCATGACTGAAACACATTCATGACAGTTCAAAGCATCACTGTTACAATAATCTTTATTGTAAGAGCAATCAAAGTGTAAAGAAATAAAAATCCCTGATAACCTCAAACCCCCCCGCCCAGAGTAGTACAGTGTTACTATGCTGTTTTTTTAACATACTGTCATCAGTCAGTGTCCCTGATCACCGCCACACCAGTCATATGATAACGTTGTAATGGGCTGGTGACAGTATGTAAAAAAGAAAATAATATGTACAACAAACCCAATTTGTTTAATTTCATCATTAAAAAAAAAAGTGACAAAACATTACAACTTCAAAAAACTCGCTATGCCTCTTACTAAATACCTCATAATGTCTACTTTCCAGAAAGGGGTCATTTAGGGGGGTATTTGTACTGTCCTGGCCTTTTTAGGGCCTGAAGAAATGAGACAGGCTGTCAGTACATCAGAATTGATCAATTTTTAAACATATATACCATAGTTTGTAGACGCTATAACTTTCACACAAACCAATAATATACACTTATTAGGATTTGTTTTTTACCAAAGACATGTAGCAGAACACAATTTTGGCAAAATTATGAAGAAATTTGATTTTAATTTTTTATTGTATGTGTTTTATTCAAGAAAATAGAAAATAATTGGTTTTTTTCAAACATTTTGGTCTTTTTTTTGTTAATAGAATAAAAAATAAAAAAACACAGTGATGATCAAATACCACCAAAATAAATCCCTATTTGTGAGTGAGAAACAAATTATATAAATTTAATTTGCATACAGTTTTTTGCATGACCGTGCAATTGCCAGTTAAAATAGCGCAGCCCTGATTAGCAAAAAAAGGCCTGGTCATGAACGGGGTAAAATCTTCTGGAGCGTAAGTGGTTAAAGCTTATATCAGATTTATTTGTTGCACTTACGTCTACTTTACAAAAAAAAAACTATTTCATTGTTGGGGTACATTGTCTTTTGTGCCATGCCTGTATGCACAGATCTGTGCGCACAAAAATCCTTTCATAGACCAATATCTATCCACAACTGACTGATAGCTGGCTCTTCAATTATCTATACCTTCACTACTTTTTCCTAGTAATTGAGATAGTTTACCTTTTAGATTCTCCCAGGTGTTTCCTTAGACTTTGTTCTTTGGGTTTTGGGAAAGTTTGCTACTGGCACCACATTTTTAAGGCAATAAGCAGGGGCAGACTGACAACTCATGGGGCCCCCGGGCAATAGGGGATCATGGGGCCCCTGTGTTCTTGCCCAAACTCAAAAAAGCCTATGAAAAAGGTACCAGGGGCATCTCATGGGGCCCCCTACTGACCCCGGGCCCTCGGGCAGTGCCCGAGTTTCCAAATGGTCAGTCTGCCCCTGGCAACAAGCACAAACCTAAATGTACCAAAAGATACAGCTGACTGCTCTCTGCCTGAGCTTCTGTACTGAGAAAAACATGGAGACTGCCATTGCTAAACTTCTAAAAATGCTAGTTGCCACTACTCTGGCATCAGCTCCTGGATCAGGAAAGTCAGAGCGAAGCCAGATCTCCTAATCTGCATACTTTTTATGAGATATTTCATAACAAGTAGTAAAGCCAGTTGGATCAGCACAATAGCCAGGGAACTAGTATTTTCAAAAAGAGAGGTCAACAATGGTAGCGTATTCACAAAGGATAAATGATATGATATGTGTTATGTGAAATAGCTTCTAATAAGATGAAATAGGGAAACCAAGTGGCCTTACTATGACTATACTATATTATACTATATATTAGCTATGGGGTTACATCATATATATTTATGCCCTGGAGCCATTCTATTAGAGATGCTTATGCACATATGTCTAAAATGTACATTCCTGAATGATTAACTATTCCCATCCAGGAATCATGTAATATATGGATCATCTGAGGGTATTTAACACGACTGACAGCAGAAGTGCATTCAGCTCCAGCAGAGGTCACCCTTGATCTACTTGCAGTGGATTTCAATGCAAATATGAACACACAAAAGGATGTTATGATTTTTTTTTCTTTTGTAGAAATGGTTTCTTTTGTGAATTTCATGCCATTCTCTGTTAGTTTCCCCAGTTCACATAAGGTAAACAAGCTCTGAACCAATGAATGGTAAATCTGCTAAGAAAAAGCAGATAATTTAACTCATTTTATATCTAGAATAATATTACAAATATAATTACAATAATATTCATCTCCGGAAGACAACCACCATGCAGCTGGGGTTATTCTCAGCTGAAACAAACCAGCTAACAATTGCAGTGGTGACAAAATATAGAGAGCCTTTGCCAAAATAAAGCGCATTTCCCCACACAGAAAAATCTGATTTCCATTTTTACTCCACAATTATAAGTCCTAGTTAAAGAGGACCTCTACTCCACTTTGTTGAATAACCTTCTTTAGCATTCATATATGTAATATATGTACAGAAGGAGATGGAAGGAAAAAGTGACACCAATAGGGACACAGCTTAATACCTCATCTACTGGCTCTTCACTATTCAATAGCAGTCCCCAATGATGCAGATACTCCACATTGTGATGACTACCTCTCAGGGGGCAGCTTAACAATGCTATTCACTCACTGTATGTCCTCACTCTTCTAGGGAGAATGACTCTGGAAGTGCAAATCTCAACATTTTCTGTGAAAGCCTCCTTATTGGTGAAAATCTCACATATCACACTTAGTGCCCAGTCATATCGGTGCAATTACAGGTGTGATTTGGGAATCGCACCTGAAATCGCATCTAATGAATGTGAATGTCAGTGTCTTAATAGTTATGATTTGCTGCAGCACGTTTTCTAAAGTAGTTCTTGTATTACTTTTTATGCAGTTTTGTTTGCAATTTCACATACATAGAATATAATGGAAATGGCACTGCAAATTGCAAGAAATCGTTGAAAATGTAGTAGCAATAAAGTCTTCAGAAATCACACTGAAATTGCACACAAATCACACAATTTTAAATTGCAGTGGTGTGACGGGTGACTTAAGCACCAAATGGGAACGCTAGGGAAAAATTCACACATAATGCAGCGACAGGCATTTTACTGCATTGTAAAACACCTGTCTCGGCAAGGACACACAGAAAAAAAACAATTGTGCCATTCACAGTGCACGCAGCCTGGAGCTGCACTGAAGCATGGTGTGATAAAATATATACATGCTGCATTTTATTGCAGCGCACCATGCAGAACCACATGACACGGTACAGCAGTGCAGGGGCACCATGAATGAAATGTACTTTTGTACACTTCAAATAAAGTTTGTATAAAAAGAAAAAAAGGAAGCCATGTGATGCACTGAATCGTGCACCACACTGCCCCCTATTTTAGTTGGGAACAAACACCTGCCGGAGAGGTAAAGCACTCTGACAGCTGTCCGTTGTAGTGTGAATTTGCCCTAAGACATCAAGATCTGCATATAACTTCAGCTGTTCACATCTGAATCTACTAATCTGACGTGGCTTTCACTGCAGTCAATGTAGAGATTTTCATTGTATGCACAGCCTGAATTTCACATGACAGGTTTAAAGGACACACCCCTACCACCACTCAATACAGCAGTTGGGACCTGAGCAGTCTATCACCAGGTACCCTCACAGTCCCATGGTTTAGGACTATGCCATCGTGTGTACAACCGCCATCAATTCTGGGTATTTTTGGTCATTCCTGATGACATTATAAGGGAAGCAATAAGAATTTGGCTAAAACTAAGGTGTAGTTTTAGTAAAGTAGGTTGTAATTTTTTTTTTTTTAATTTAAGGCTTAACTCCAGCCAAAATAGTCTTAGACAGACTGAGAAAGGTTTGGGATCATTATCAGGTTTTTATTGCTGTCTGTGTACCTGTTGCATAAATTTCTCCCATGGCCAGTGACCACCATGGCTAAACCAGGAAGGGTTGAGAATCCTCCCCATAATTAGCAATACAAAGCTGACAGAGGTTCTAACCCATCCACACTATATCCAAAACAAGTTCAAGTTTAGATATAATCCCACAAGGTTAGGCAAAATAAGCAGCAAATGTCAGTCCTAGTTATTGCTGACTAGAGTGATACATCCATTTGCCAATGACATCATATAAATAAAAAGAGAAGGCATTTCTCTTCACTTTTTTTTATCACTAACAAAGATTTATAGAACGGCAGGTTTTATTTAATTTTCTGTCATTCTTTTTTGCCGTTAGTTGGTCTAAGTAAGCTAATCGCATTATTTATTTGTTCTTGGTGATGAGACAATGACCTTGAAGCAGCCGACGGGTCCTGACTCCTAGCGCTGTACAAGCACGTGCATGTCAATGATAAATAAATAGTCTTTTATTGATTAGTGAGTAAAGATATATAGATGTGCACAGGCGCCCTATAGATGAGCAGTCATCCTTCTCCCTGACAGCGTCACAGCATTCTTCTTCCTTAGCAGATCTTCAGTTGTTGCACATGTCCCCAAAAAAAGCTGTTCTTAAGCTATCTATGCCAATAGGGATTACCAGTTATTGTCAAAAGGAATGTGTTCATTAGCAATGATAAAATGTGCAATTATTACACCGTTCCCAATAAACGATGCCGTCTGTCATTGACAAACAATCTAATTTGGATAATAGCTCTTCATCTGCTTTAAAACACATTTTTTGACTGACTTTTTAAAAACACAAACATTTTTAGGCAAAAGAGAGAGAAAAGGAGTCAAACTATGAGAACAAAGGATGGAGGGGGTGAGAAAGCAAGAGAGGGGGAGAGCAGACTAGACAGGCTAAGGATGGAGAGTCTAAGGGGACAGCAGGCAGTCTGTTGTCTCACTATGTATTTTTAATATCAAATACAAGCCAGAAATGATAAAAGGAAAATGGATATGTAATTACATAGCGGAATATTCAGTTCCTAGGACACAATTAAATCTAGGTCTACCTAGACTGCCCTGGATTCACTGAGCATTCATTGGCATTTATCCCTGCTATTTAGTGTAGGTGCAGGGGATGAATAGCAATACCTGCAAAGAGGAATTTAAGCAGGGCTGTATGAAGACATCATGCTGTCCTTGCTACTTGTGAATAATGACATAAAAGCTTCACCCCCCACGTGCCATGCGATTATTTTTGTAAAAATACTGCTACTAATGCGCTATTAGAGGCAGCAAGCAGTTTGCACTTGGGGTCTACTTTATAAGTAGAGTGACATTTAAGTGGTGCGTAGCACCAAATGAGACAGGGTACAGTGTTCCATCTTTTCTGACTTTAAAGAGGCTTCTGACACCTAAGAACTTCCTTACACCTGCTTTCCCTCTATTTTGTTGAATGAAGCAACAAATGTTCACAAGGTGGCAAAATATATTGTAAGATGCTATCACCTTTAAAGGGTGAGTTCACATTTTGAAAAACAAAATAGTAAATGCACTTTTTTTTGCAGGTAAAAAAATGTGCATTTATTATTTTTTTTCTGAGGTGCCTGCAGAGCTATTCACCCACTATCAGCAGATCAAGGATGCAATCTCAGGCTCCTACAGCATAGCTATCTGCCTGTACCTCGCATGAGCACGCAGTTTCTTGAGAGCAGAGGGATCAATGGACTTTGAGAGTGCTCACCAGCGCCATTGTAGTTCATTGAAAACTACAAGCCATCAGCTTCAATGATAGGCACAGGAAACTGTATATATAAATGAACTATGTGGCCACGTGGGAGCTCAGGGACGGACTGACCATTTGGAAACTCGGGCACTGCCCGAGGGCCTGGGGTCAGTAGGGGCCCCCATGAGATGCCCCTGGTACCTTTTTCATAGGCTTTTTTGAGTTTGGGCAAGGACACAGGGGCCCCATGATCCCCTATTGCCTGAGGGCCCCATGAGTTGTCAGTCTGCCCCTGGTGGAGCCCCACACTGCCACGCTGTTTTCAAATTGTACAGGTGCAGGGAAAGGATCACAGGGAGGGGGATCCAGGAAGGGGGGAGTCTGAAGATGCTGGATCATGTTAAATGTCCCACCATTAGAATGGGTGAAACATGTAACATGTTCCAAAAGTGAACTTATGACCACTTTACCAGTGCTGCCCCAGGCACTAGTCAGTGAGTGCCACTATGGTAAGCACAGCCCTGATTTTATGCTTAGATTTTCAGCTTTTGTATAACAAATATGAAAAAGATGTCATCGGGTGGGCTCTGGTTCCTTGGCTTCCTATAGTGGAAAAGGACAAATGTTTCAGAAGAGCACATTATTATATATGGGGACAAAACAGATGTGTGTTTCCTGTACCCTCTACACCTGTAGCATGTACACCTAAACTACTTGGGTCAGTATTTAGTAGTCAGTCACATTCAAATATAAATTGGATTAAACTCTTGCCAAACCATGTAATTCATACAGTATATGTGACAGCAAGAACAATGAGCTTTAACCTCTATCCACAACATATACACGTTCATTCAGTGGTCAGAAGTTGT